CCCCCCCCCCCCCCCCAGCATTGCTGAGGTATTTTTTTCCTGCGGCCTGGTAGCGGGCCGCAGCCCATAGTTTGGGAAACGCTGCTCTATCTCCTTTGCCTTTTCCCACTCCATTGACATCCCTTAACACTATATTTTTCTACTATCTCTCTTGCTTTCACTATTTAAGACTCCCATTCTATGCTGGCGTTTCCCAAATCTACCTCAACAGCCCCAATTTTAATCCAGCTATCCAGTCTCATGTTCCCAAATGCCTTCTCCTCAGAAGTGTCCTGCAACCACCTCAAATTTAATGTGTCCAAAATGAAATTTCTTAGTAATTTATCAATTTATTCTGTTCTCTACCTTGCTGACAACTCCACTATCGCTGCTAGGGATGTAAGTGACTAATCGACTAGTCGATTATCCAATAAGCAAAAGCTAGTCAACTAGTCGCTCACACCCTTCTCTCCCCCCCCCCCCCCCCCCCAGTGTTTATGGGGAAAGAGGCATGCTACTATTTCTATGTTTATAACACTTCCTAACCCTGAAAAGGCTTTTGTGCAGAAAGGACCGTGATTCTACAATAAGTAACTTCTTCTGTTAGTAAGAAGGCATAGACTGTGTGAATATAGGCTTGGATGAAAAGGAGTGTAGTTGTTAACATTGATTTTGCAGTATACTTTGAATACTCATCGAGGGATTTGTTACACCTATTTCTAGGTTTCAGAAACAATTAGGTACATAATCTCTAAATATCATATAACCAGAAAAAAAGAGCATCACAAAATACTAATAACCTGAATGACAATCCACACACGACAAATCTTTACAGATGAAATGTGTCAGTGAAAGATACCTGATTTACAACCAACTTTATTATTTTTCCCATTCCCATTCAACAGATATGTGCAAAACAAAATATCAGCAGTCTTTACACAATCAATACAATAGTGCCTCATACAAGCCAAAAATAAAGATCCTATTTTTGGATATCCTGTATCCAAAACCTGTTACATTCTGCTGAGAGCATCATTCATATATATTATAAGCGCCATATGCACTTGAGACTTGATACAGTTCAAATAACAGAAACCGTAAAACTTCCTATTATTTATAGCCTCAAGTGACTGCCACAATTTCCTGCTTACTATGATGCCATACTGAATTGCAAGAGAAAAAATGAGCTGCTAAAGATCTGAAAACAGCATATAGAGGATGTGGTCTGTGGAAAAGTGATTCAAGTTTAGTACTAAGCATGAAACCCAGGGTATGTCTAAACTTGCTCCCTAGTTCGAACTAGGGATGCAAATGTAGCCAACCGAAACTGCTAATTAAGCGGGGATTTAAATATCCCGCATTTCATTAGCATAATCTCGCTCGCGCGCTATTCCGCTCACCAGCTGATTCGAACCAGGAAGTGCACTCCGGAACGCGTTAGTTCGAATCAAACCCCTTGGTTCGAACTAACGTTACTCAAAAAATGAGGAGTAACGTTAGTTCCAACCAAGGAGTTTGATTTGAACTAATGCGTCCTGGAGCGCACTTCCTGGTTCGAATCAGCTGGTGAGCGGAATAGCGCGGGGGCGAGATTATGCTAATGAAGCATGGGATATTTAAATCCCTGCTTCATTAGCAATTTCGGTCGGCTACATTTGCATCCCTAGTTCGAACGAGGGAGCAAGTGTAGACGTACCCTCCGAGACTAGTTAGATATTTAGGCTAAATTCTGCTCAATTCACTGGTGTAAAGCTGGAGTAATCCTACTGACCTCAATTAAATTATTCCAGATGAGCCTCAGTGTAATTGACAGAATTTTACTCAGAGACCTAGATACTATAGTATTTATTATCAATCACAATAAATTAAAAGATACTTAGCCAAATTCAGTCTGATGCAAACAGGTGAAAGTCCTTAAATTTACTTGTTTACAAAAGGGAGCAAATTTAACAAGTGATGTGTAAAATGCTGCAAATTTAAACTTTATACATATTTACTTCCATTTACTAATGTGTTTGCGGACATTTAAGTTTGTATAATATACACACCAAGAAGCTAGAAAAAGTGG